TCAGTTGGTTGTAAAAATTAATGAGTTCAGATACAGACTTGCTTTATTCCGGTCCAGCTGCGTAACCACGGCGATTGTGTCCGGCACACTAGACAGTTACATCAGCTCCACACCCCTGTACAATAAGACTCTGTTTGATCTCAGAAACAAGATCAGACTCCTGGGCTTTGCACATCCTGCTTCCTACATATGTAAAATCATTTTATTACCAGCCAGGAGAGTTCATCTAAGCCGCTCTCGCTGTGCAGCTGATGTGGAGAGAACATGCCCCTGTCTGCACTTCTTTTACCAGATGGAGATCTGCGGAGAGGTTTCAGAGCTGCTACTCCTCCAGGTTTGGGTTTGGTTGTTTTTTTTTTTAATTCCTCACCTTAGACTGGAAACTCTGGGGCAGGACCTGGGTCTCCTCGTGTGTTTGTGCAGCCCCTGCACAGTGGGAGGTGTGTATGGCTCAGCTCTTCTGAATATAAGTGGTAAATAAGCAGCCATGTGGTTTTGCTTGGCTTTATCCCCTTTTGTCTCATCTGCCCAGGAGAGGAAGTTCCTTATAAAAGATCTGCTTTGCTCTTCAAATGTCTCCTCAAATTACCCTCTTTTTGTTAGGTCCATGAGACACTGGGGAACTGTCCCTATATTCAAACATTTACCCTGCTCCACCTGAGTAACCCCCTTGTCACCAAGGCAGTTATGAATATGCCCAAGCTGCTACAGGCTCAGCCTGACCAGCCGCAGCACCATGACTCTCTTTGGCTGATTACAGATTGCTCAGCAGCGTTACAAGCCACTGGCTCTGCTTTAATCACAGCTATTCCAGTTACACAGTCCCACTGGTGTGGCTCTGCCCATGCATCCTGGCTGCCAAGCTGCAACACACAGAGACATGATATTGTGCTGGCGTACAGCATCACTGCATCCCGGGGTGCGTCTGCAGCATTGGTGTGCAGCATCACTACATCCTGGGGTGTGTCTGCAGCATTGGTGTGCAGCATCACTGCATCCCGGGGTGCGTCTGCAGCGCTGACGTGCAGCATCACCGCATCCCGGGGTGCGTCTGCAGCATTGATGTGCAGCATCACCGCATCCTGGGGTGTGTCTGCAGCATTGGTGTGCAGCATCACCGCATCCCGGGGTGCGTCTGCA